GCAACACTACCATAGAGTTCCTTTGAGTCAGAGTTGAAGATCCAAGAAACAACCATTGCATTGCATTTGGACCAAGCACTTTCTTCTAGTGACAATCTTGGTGGTCGTGGCAGTGATCCATCGACAAAAATAGCTTGTTCATTGCTCAAAGTATTATTCTCATTGTCTAATGCCACACTAGGTAATTTTCTCCGGTGAGTGGTGTGATCCGGAGCATGTCGTTAACCACTTCGAAACACCAATTTAAACATTTATAAAATTTTTTTGATTCTCAAACAATTACAAACGGCAATAAAATGATGAGAACGGGTCGTATCCACATGGAAGCGAGGGAAAAATTAATACGTACTCAAATCCAGACAAGAGAACACAAGAGGGAAGTGCAGAAATATAAAAATTAATTAATTAAACTGAGAAAAATAGAATTCGAACAGTACTGAAAATTAAAAGTGCAGACACAAATAAATACATAAATAAATTAACAAAAGAAATGAAATAAAAATATGTAATCCGATCAGAGGTAGTAGTCTCTAGATCTCTCCTTTGACCCTTAAACTTCTCGAGCTAGGCCTTCCGTCTTAACTGGGTGAATTGACCAACCCCTTCTATAAGGCCCTTGGGACCCTTTTTATAGAGAAGGGTGGACACAACTAGAAATAGGGAGAAAGATGGGGGGCGGCAGTTGGGATTTAGCAAAGTTAGGGATGTCCTAGGGTTTCTAATGAATGGCTAAGATGGTTTTGGGGTGATCTTATGGCTGAAAATGGAAGGAAAGGGCACCCAATATAATATAGGGTTGAGATTTGGGCGCCCAGAAATGGAGCGTGTAGATTAGAACATCTAGGGTTGAAGGGTTAAGATTAAAAGAATATGTGGTGCCCTAGATTGAATGGTTGGGATATAGGATGGAGGGAGTGGCTGAGATTTAATGGTGAGGATTAGTAGAATAAGTGGCACCCTAGGGTTTAGAAGCTACAAAGGAGAGCCCTAAAATAGATGGTGGAGATTAGAAGGAGTGGATGATGGAGATTTCACATTTGGGGTGGCTAAGGTTAGCTAAGGAGGAAAAGATTAAGTTAAAAAGGCTCCCTAGGGTTTGCTAATGAGAGAGGAGCATGGTAATATAGTAGGATGGGCGCCAACTGGGTTTAGTAGATAGGAGGCGCCCTCTTGTTCTTAGTTCTTTACAAAAACACCCCCTCTCTTAGCTAGACTTCACACTAGCTTCCCAAAAACTGCATTTCAACTATGAAAACTTCTCAGTTTTCTACATAATTTGCACAGAGACCCTCAGAGGTCACATAATTGATTTTAACTGGGAAAGGGGTGCACTTTGACTATTCTAAGGCCGAAAATACCCCTGAATTGATTTCCTTAAAAAAATCAAAATGCAAGGTTATCAGTGAGTAGAAAGGACACCAAGACCATCTCTGGATTGTTCGAGGCATGCAAAAAATACGATGAATTAGGACCCAGGAACAAGGACGCCATGGAGTTGGCGATGGTTTCTGATGCCATGACGGTGCTTGTGTCTTGATGGATCGGTTGATTCAAGAAACCCAAGAACAAGATTTCTTGGAAGAAGACTTTGGGAAATATGAGTGATGGACAAAGTTAACTGCACCCCCTAAGTGTGCGATGAGGTAAAAGGCTCTGTGATGAAAAAAGAAAAGGTAAAGCGTAGTAGGCGTGCAATGAAAGAAAGAGGGAGAGGAGATTGTAACAAAGAGGACTGCGATGAGCTATGGCTTTGATACCATGTAAAGAGGTATCAAAAAGTGGAACTTTTGTGTAGTCTTATTGAAAGATACAATGATATTTATAATTACAGAGATGGTTGGTTGCGGTGTAACAACCCAACTAACCGACCATATTGCAAGTGGGCCATGTGGCTAAACCACACGTGGACCCAAGACTCTAATCCTAACACAAAGTCTCCTATATAATTAGAGTGACTCTAAAAACTGAGCCACCATCAGTTGGTCTGTGCATTCTAATTAGCCAATATATTTGAAGAATGTCTGGGGCAAGATGACATGGGGTAGTCACATTTTCTTTGAATGGGTTTATGGCCTCTACAAAGCTTAATTTTCACACCTTGTGCCAAGATCTTATCAACCAATTGAAAGCAGATAATCTCAAAATCCATAGCCAAAAGCTAGTAGGTTTACCCAAAGGCCAACAGAGCCTAAGGAAGGATGCTTATTAACTAGGTTTTGCATACAGATAGTGCTTCAAAACTCATGCATGAGAAACTTAAGTGAACCCATGGTTTTCAAAACTGAATCAGACCAGATGGTTGGAATAGAAAAACCAGGAACCGGTCATTCCATTTTACCCCATAACCGTTATTTTTTCAAAAACCATTGATTTGGTTAGCAAATCACTAACTCGGGTTGTTGAACCGTTCGAACCATTCAACGGTTTGGCTGGTTTTTATTTTTTTTATTTTTTAATATATTTTTAATTATTTTTTTTATTTTTTTGTCAAAACGGGTCATCCATTCAGTTTGAATGGTCGGACCATTCAACCCAAGAATCGGACCCCTGACCAGTTCGTTGTCTGGTTCGATTTTAAAAACTTTGAGTGAACCTTTCAATGCGACCCCGTAGGCACAGTGAAGATGCCCTCCAAAAAGCTCCCAAAAGAATATTCCGGGACACCTTTTATGGCAACTTCAATTAGCTAGGTGGCCTCCTCCTTGACATTAAATTCCGAATAGATATCAGATTCTTAGGTCTGTTAATGGGCCGGGTCTACATGGGAGAACTGAACCGACCAAACAGATTATGTTGGTTCTGTGTTGTGATTTTGTCCCGATTAATAGTTGGGTCTGGACGGGTTCTTGTTGTTCCAAACTGATTCGAACCCCGTATTGATTATATAGTTGATGACATATCAACATATTTTTTGTAATTTTTGTTATATTTTATATCTAAAAGAATAAATTTCATGAGCAATATATATCATAATTATGGTTAAAAACAGGCATTTTATCAACAAACAAACAATTAAGTATTTCAGTGTCAATTTTATTAAGGTTATATCAAGATTTTTAAAATCGAATCGGACAACGAACTAGTCAGGGGTCCGGTTCCCAGGTCAAACGGTCCGACCGTTTGAATCGAACAGATGGCCTGTTTTGACAAAAAAATAAAAACCAGCCAAACGGTTCGACTTTCTGGGTCAGTGGTTTGTTGACCAAATCGATGGTTTTTGGGAAAATAACGGTTCTGGGGTAAAATGGAACCGGTCACCTAACCGGTTCCTGGTTTTTTCGGTCTGACCATTCGGCCTGATCAAGTTGAAAACCATGGGTTATATTACCAAAATGAAAAATTGAGTTGTAATTATCTTTGATAATTATGGTTATTAAGTGTAATCGGATCAGATCCAATTGGATCAGTTCTGGGTCTGGTCTTTTTTAATTCTTATTGTCCTAATTACATAATTGGAAGTGGTACTCCCCATCTCAAAGTAGACCTGATCCATTGACAACTCTACAAATTCCATGCAAAGGACTCAATTCAAAAACAGTGGCTTAACCCATCAAAATCATCATCAGCAATGTGAGGAAATGAGCATTTAATTTGGCCCACATCACCAACTAGAGATATCATTTTCAGCCTGGTTGAGAGAATCGGGTTGGGCATAGAATTGAAGAAGAGAGAGGTTCACAGGTCAGAGGTTTGACCCATAGTATTTATATTATGGGTCATATAAATACTATATATAATATATTTTACAACTTTTAATGTACTTAAATATGGTGAATGGAAACAAACATGTGAAAATACAGACCAGGTGTGGAGTTTTACATCGGTTCGTAGTTACACTAAAAAACAAACATGTGTAAATGCGAACTGACGGTGGAGTTTTACGTCGATTCACATTTATGTTGAAAACTAGCATAACCTTGAGTAAATTACTTACCCATGTGTACAATAAATCGCTAATATGTGATGGAATAATATTGTCCCCTCAATAATGTCACTTTTTTGGACAAATCAATCATTGCGCATCATTACTTAGGGAATAAAAGAACACAGGTAGGTGCTCTTATCCGGATAAGTGCATTTATATAGATAAATCATTTATCGAAACACAAACGAGGCCTTCGTATCTACTCTTAACAGTTCTTCAGTTATTTGTATCACGTGACAGCATGTGTGACATAATTTTTTAAAAATACCAAAGCTACTCTTTTTAACATTTTTAAGACCATTTTACCTTGATCGTCTTCCCCAGTAACAACAAAAATTTATTCATCTTCTTTGGCAACAATGACGGTCTAAAACAAGGTTTTTAAAACCGATCCAAACAACAAACTAGTCAGGGGTCCGGTTCCTAGGTCGAACGGTCCGACCGTTCAAATCTAACGGATGACCCGTTTTGACAAAAAAATTAAAAAATAAAACCGGCCAAACCGTTGAACGGTTCGAACGCCCAAGTCAGTGGTTTATTGACCAAATCAACGATTTTAAGGAAACAACGGTTCTAGGGTAAAACGGAACCAATCACCTAACCATTCCTGGTTTTTCTGATCCGACCATCCAGTCTAATCCGGTTTTGAAAACCATGGTCTAAACTCCCTTTTTTGTTATGGATTGAATAACTAAAAAAATGGATTACAACAATGGTGGTTTAAATCATTCTTCTCCGACAAATGGTGGTTTAACTCATTAGGCTGAGTTAGGCTGAATTTGGAAAGAGTACAAATGCAAATATGTAGAGTGCAAAAGCTCATATTTTGTATTATTTTGTATGTATTTGTACTGTATATATTTGTATTTATACTTCTTTCAAACTAAGCCTTAATTATATATAGATTGGACAGTGGTACCCAATCACATGAAAAAGGTTCTTTGTATTCTTTCACGTGCTTAACCATTTTGTACTAAATTGGCAGATTTAGAGAGTTCTATTTGGTCATGGCTAATCAACCCCCCACAAGGGATTTTGATAAATACCACCTGTTTGGATTTCATTGGTTACAACTTACAAGTTAGTTTATCCCGTATCATGAATTTCCAAAACATCTTTGATCTGACGTGAAATAGCTTCTGATGTAGGCTCGTCTCAGTGGTTTGTACAAGGAGACACTAGTTCCGCAAAAACTTATGAGAGCTCATCACGCCTCCTCTCATTCGATTCCGACAATTCGGAAGATTCAGATACATATCAGCGAATGGCTAGCACTCCATCATCCACCTCTTCAAGCTCTGTCCCCGTGCTCATGGATTCGAACTTCTCTCCAGAATCTCAAAGACTTTGGGAATTAGCTCAACAGCTCCGTCTCTACAAGCCTCCTCCTTCCACCGACGACGAGGACGAGATCGAAGAAAACACAGGGAAGGTCGTTTCTCAGGTGGGTTTTTCGCAATCTGCAACATCTATTACTCAGTCCGAAAGATTCAGACCGAAGAGAGCAGCCGTCCTTGTTTGCCTATTCGAAGATGATGTTGGAGATCTCCGAGTCATCCTCACTAGGCGCTCGAAGAGACTCTCCACTCACTCAGGTCAGAGGAGACGAGATGAATTCATCGTTCCGTACTCATTATCACGGAACCAGTTGGGTTTCTTCTTGAATTCTGTGAAATCAAGGTCGATGTCTTTGTTTTAGGTCAAGTTGCTTTGCCAGGAGGGAAAGCTGAGGCGGGTGATGCAAATGACACAGATACAGCTTTGAGGGAAGCCAAGGAAGAGATAGGGTTGGATCCTTCCCTTGTTAATGTTGTGACTGTTCTCGAGCCCTTCTTGACTAGGGTATGTTGGAGGTTGAATTTCGACTCTCTTTGGGTTCTTTACTTTTATTTACTATTTTGTCAGATCTCAAATCTGAAGAATTTCGAATGAGATTAAGATTGAATTTTGAATGGTTTCTATTTCTCAATTTGGTTTAGGTTTGAAGTTACTCTATTTCTTCTCTGTTGCCTAATTGGCTATAGAGCTACTACTTGCAATCACGATCAAAATCTCAACTTTATATTGGGGATAATGAATCGGTAGCTCATTGGGTTTTCTTAGTTTGTTATAGGAACGCAGGACCACATTTTAGCTAGTTAGAAAAAGCTAATGCGATCATGACATATTGTTGGCATTTTTTCCTGATATGAGAAACAAGTGACAGATAAAGGAGGTCAGATACAAGCATAAGTTGTAATACTTCATATACCCCCGCATTCCATTTTCGGCCACTTCTCGATTTTCTCATAAAGTAAACAACAACCTTTCTCAGAGTCCCATGGATATGATATTTTACAGGTCATGGAATTCAATTCACAATGGAACATAACTTTCTAATCCCTCACCCACAGGCAATTTTCCAATGATGCTCATCAGGAAAATTCAGTTCATTCACTAGGCTTGCAACAGTGTTGTGTAAACAATATCATAATTATCAAAAAACAAAAAACTCTTGCTGTTTTTTCATGCCAATTTTATGGATCTTGTCCCCACACATAGATAATTCAGTGAACAGTATTGTAAATGTTTTCTTCCCACTTCTACCTCAAAACGCACTCCTGATCTTTTGGTTACCTATTAGCTGGATCTATTGCTGGATCCCAATAGGAATTCACTTTCAAACGTGTAATTGCAGACTGCCTTGCAAATACAATGTGTGGTCTGTATTTGCACACTTGTAGGTGCATTCCTATTGGGGATCCAACAATGAATCCATCCATAGACCAGGAGATCTTGATGCCTCATAATGATCCATAATACATAATGAGCTACACGGTAACTGTATTCTACATTTCTACTGCCCCAAGGCCCCACCTATTTGATCAGTGAATGAGTGATGTTCTTCCATAGATATTGTCTATGGTCAGTGTTGTGTGGACTCTCCTGAAAGAACAAAGCTTCTTGTTTGACTAGCATCAGATTTCAGCACTCTGTTGGTTCTTCAGGGCACTTCTGTGTATCATTTTCTTTTTGTCTCTTTGCATGATTGACAAGTGACAATCTAGCATATATAAATTATTTTGTCTTATACAATGTTGACAGTAAATAGCAACCAAGGATAACTAATATATACTCATGGCATTTTCTATGGGAAGATGTTGTAAGAAATCATAAGATACTAAGATAGCAACTTGTGGATGGTAAATGGTTTTCTTTTCCATAGATCAAATTGAAGTCCATTGAGCCATGTGGGATCAATCATTTGTAGATTAGAGCAGTTCTCCCACACACCTGGACACAATGAAAGACCTCATTGGACAATCAATATTTTCTTTTTTCTATTTTTGAGCTATAACATTAATGTATTTTGTTAGTATATAAATGTAGTTCAGAAGAGCTAGTAGGAAACTTAGGAATTAAAACAAAAAGATGAATTTGAGGCATATCAAGACCTTAACATGATGTCTCTATGCAAAAAAAAAAAAAAAAAAAAAAAGATACAAAAAGAAACTCTCAGATTGGTAATAAAATCCAAACAAGCTCACTTTTCAAACAGCCTCCATCTCATGGAAGCTTTTTATTTTATTTGCATTGCCAATTATCTGAAAAATGTTTTGTCTATTTTTTCTCTTGAAAATTGGGACATCTGTTTGTAAATCTGGACAAAATGTTTATTGTTGCTTTTATGACAGCTAGGTGCCATTAGTTGCCATTAGGTGCCACATAAACTGAACAGTAAAAGATGTCTTAACTGTTGGAGGAACATCAAAATGATGTTTTCCCCAATGGATGAGACTCACACAAACCAAGAAAAGTGTTTTATTGAGAAACGACTTATCCAAACAGTATTTCAAACTCCACTGGGGGAAATGCCTATGTGGCGCAGAGTTGGTGTCAATTTTCTGATAAATGGCAATGGTCAAGATTATCCACAACCAAATTGGGCCCATCTGGGAACCCACTGGAGGGATCATTTTGGAAGCTAAGGCTCAGTTTGGAAGGAGTACACATGCAAATATGTAGAGTACAATACCTTATATTTTGTATGCATTTGCACTGTACATATTTGCATTTGTACTCTTTCCAAACTGAGCCTAAGGATCTAGTCCTTGTAATCTGGCAGCACAGTCTCCTAGGGCTCCTTAACTTATCACTATCTACAAGGCCCTCTCAATATAGTTCTAGAAACCAAAAAGTCTAATATCCTGAGTACCTGAGTACAATGAACTAAATGCTAAACAGTAAGAAAAATACCTATGAACAAGCATACTATATGATAGAATTATGATATTCTTCTCATGGAAAACAAAAACCTGTATTTACAGTCTTTACACTTCCACCAAGTCAAGTAAACGAGCATGTTACCCTCCATGGAATGGAGGTTAACTCATTCGAGCATAATTCTAATTGTTGGCCCATTCTGAGTATGTTTTTCTTTATGTTTTTTATTTACTTGTTGTATCCATTCATTTATAAATGTCTTTTGGCCTTGAAAAGATAGCTTTTTTCCCATGCAGGATTTTCTGAGAGTTATTCCTGTGATTGGTATACTTTCCAATAGGCAATCATTCAAGCCCACTCCTAATGCTGGAGAGGTGGAACTGGTATTTGATGCACCTTTAGAAATGTTCATCAAGGTTTTGTCTGCCTTCCTTCTCTTACTGATTTTAAACTGCCCTTTTCATTTCTTCATTTTTGGCACATTTTGAACATATTGTGATGAATTCAGGATGAGAACCGGACCGCAGAACAACGAGAAAGAATGGGGCACAAGTATCTGATTCATTTCTTTGATTATGAAACAGAGAACAAGAAATTCATAATATGGGGTTTGACTGCTAGGATCTTGATTCATGCTGCATCAGTTGTGTACCAGCGGCCACCTCCCTTTCTGGAGCAGAATCCAAATTTCAAATTTATTTGGTCTGTTACTCCAAATGCCACCCTGCCCTGAATCTGTATTAGTAGTCACCATAACCTGCATTGGTTGGATCCTGATTTATTCAAAGACAAATGGTTGACATAAACCTATGGACTGTACTTTCCATCTTAAATCAAATTGCAGGTGGGGATATTCCTACTATCCGGACTTCTAGAATGAATTTGCACATATTTGGTGATGTCATGACATCTTAAGATCAATGCCTGTGTTAGAATGACTGGTTATGGTGCACAAGGTACAATATGCTGGCATCTGGATTCACTTTGTTCAGATTCTAGCCATCTCTATGTATATATATATATAATTGTTGACAAGTAGCAAGAGTTTGGATCTGCAGTAAACAAAATGCTGTTTGCATAACTGGGTGTATCAATCTGTGATGGAAGGCTGTCCAACTTGTTTTTAGTGAGTTTAAAACCTAGGCAATGACATTGAATTGGATATCTGCCAATAGTTGACTGGTGTGCTCAGCGATTTGTACAGTACATCCTATCTTAGTGAAAGAGAATCGTAGAGCTTGATGTTTTGCTAATCAGATAGAAATCCAAGCCAATCTTGTCAAAGGCAAGCAGGATATTTGAGTGGTTGAATATATATTTGTGTTTATGGTATTGGATCGAACCACATGATCATGGACCATGCATCTGTTTTTATGAATTTCTTTGTTTTCAAGCAAAAATTTGACCTGTTCGCTAAGTGCAGAATGCAACCATTGGAGATAGGTACTAAACTACAAAATGGGGTTGAGCTTAACAAGACTCAAATCTATGGTATATCATGTATAAATGTTTCTCTTTGCAATTGCAGAGATATCATCCAATCCATTCAAAGAGTTCGAATTCCACAAGATATAAACTCATATCGTTACTGGTTGGTGCGCGTCATGGTTTGGATTAGCTGCCCTTAGGGGTGCAAGTGCAAGTGCAACTCGGGTTGGCCCAAATTAACAGTTTACATTGTTTTGGGCTTGGGCTTCGGGTTGGGCCCATTAAAATTTTGACAAAATCCAGAGCGGAACCTGCGAGAGACCTGGTGGCAAAGAGATTTGATCCCAAGTTTCCGCTACAACCTGCGAGAGACCTTAACAACTGAGCCACCATCAATTGGTCTGTGCATTCTCATTAGCCAATATATCAAAGCAGATAATCTCAAAATTCAGAGCGGAAGCTAGAAGGTTTAACCAAAGGCTAGCAGATCCCAAGGATGCTACTCAAGTGCATTTTTGCATATAGACTGTTTCAAAGACCCATACATCAGAAGTCCAATTTCCGAGCATCCAAACTTAGGGTCCGTTTTGTCCACAGTTGGAATCGGAATAGGAATGGTTTATTCCCATAGTCTGTTTGGTTAGACAGGAATCAGAATGGGAATTGGAATAAGCTGGAATGAGATTTCATTCCCAAGGGAGGGGAGGAAATGACCATTCCCTCAAATGGGTGAATGCCAATCAAACAGTTGGAATTGGAATGACCCATTCTGGTTCCAATTTCAGACCTCCATTCCCACAAACCAAATGATCCCTTAAGTCACCGGTTCGATGCCACCTATAGACACAGTGAAGATGCCATCTAAAAAGCTCCCAACAAAATATTGTGGGATGCCTTCTAAGGCAACTCAATTAGCCAAGTAACCTTCTTGACATCAGATTTGAAATTGGATTTGGTCCTCACAAAACTTTCCTCATCCCTTGTAGCCATGCATTAGAAATATTTCCCCTATGAATAAAAATATACAAGTATGGATATGTTCCCAATGCGTAGCTGTAAAAGGCTGTGAGGATGATGTGAGGACACTTCTATGAGGATCAAATCCGAATTCATCAAATTCTATGTAAGGGACTCCATTCAAAAACACTAGCTTGACCTCATCAAAATCATCATTAACATTAGGGAAGGAGCATTTAGGTTTTCTGTTCAGGCCCGGCCCAGGCCCATAAATTTCAGGATTGGAATTCAGGCCTGCCCCAACTGGGCCCAGACTATAACCCTTATAACAGGTGCAAAGCTCAGTCGGGCCCAGCCATGATCACACCCAAGTCGTACCACCTATTAGGGGTGCAACTTGGGTGGGCCCAGCTTGAGCCCAAACCGGCCCAACCTGGAATTTTACATGGGCTAGGCTCAGGCCCAAGAAGTCAGTTTTTTTTTTTTTTTCGGGCCTAGCCCTTAGGTAGCCCGAACCCGGCTCGAGCCTGGCCCAATTATATACATTTATACATATATGTATATATGTAAATGTTGCATACATATTTGCATATATATACATACATATTTGTATATATAACATTTGTACAGATATTTTGCATACATACATAAATATATATATATATATATATATATATATATATATATATATATATATATATATATATATATATATATACATATATATATATATATATATATATTTGCATAAATACATTTATATATGTATAAATTTAGGGTGGGTTCACTGACCAACCCGAGCCTGAGCCCAACCAAAATGCATCAAATAACAGGGCGGGCTGGGCTCGGATTGAGAAAATCGGGCTTGACCTCGAGCTCAGGACTTAAGCCTAAATTTTAGGATCGGACCTGGGTTGACCATAAACCCGGCCCAACCCACCCGACTTGCCCCCCTACCTCCTATCGGTCTCAATGGAGATCTCTTGTTTTAGAAGCCATCTTACAAGTTACAACGGTATGATTTTTCAACTCAACCTATATGATACCGGAAAAACTTGTAAGTTGTAACCAATCATAAGGTATATGTCTTAGCATAGATTTTCCCTAACAAAATAGCTAAATGAGATTTTCTACCCAAGAAAACATCTCTTACAACTATGCAAGAATATAATTGTTCGGTTTATTGGGAAAATTCGCATTTCCAATGGGTGAGGCCTTGAGCACAAAGGTCCAACGCGTGGGAACATACTCACATAAAATGGGCCATAACTGAAATACAATATTCTTGATGGTAGCATACATAGGGGCCATAATTCTCATATCTCAATTTTGAATTCATGGCTACGTGGAAAAAGAAAAAAAAATCAAACTGAAAAACTAGAGAGCTTCTTTGCTTCAGAGTTTGGACTCGAAAAGGTTGAAACAACAAACAAATGGACTAGTTAGTAGTCACAGAGAACAAATAGGTTTCACTTTTACCAAAGCAGCATCAAGATTTGTAGTCAGACGACAACGGTATCACTATCACCTCCGATAAAAGAATGTGTAAGGAAAGGTGAAAAGGGGTAAGCACATTCCACTTGAGCACATTGGGGGATTAAACTGCAAAACTCCTCACTCCTTGCACCATTGAGATGATACCAAATGATCTTCCCAGGCAACACAATGAACACAACATCGGAATAATTTGGATGAAAAGCCACCAGATTCAATTGAAATTTGAAACCCAAGGAATACTACTGTGCACCAATGGTTTCTATGCTGACAGAGTGCCTCAACACCTATAGATTATTATAATCCCAATCCCCAAGCATCCAAACTTGCAGCTGATCTCCAACGCAGAAGGTGCAGCAGAGATGCCCTCCAGAAGCTCCTAAAATAAATCTAGGATTTCCTCCAAGCCTGTTGGGGAAGATACACTACAGTAACAGAAATGAGTGTGAAAAGCAATTCTAGGATATATAGAAAGAAACTTTCTCCTAAGTTTGTGTTAAAATGGGTTTATCAACAATAATGACAACAGATAAACTAAAATACAAATAGCAATCACCACACAATAGCACACCAGAATTTTTACGTGGAAAACCCCAAAACTAGGGAAAAACTATGGGACCTATGGTCTATAAAAGTCTTTCACTAATTCAGAAATTAATGGGTACAACAATCCTCTCTAGTTGCAACTAGAGACTTACAAACATCAAGAAAATAATCCTTGGCTCACAAGTACAACATTAACATCACCAAATGTAAGGTGGATTCAACAAAAACAAAGGTTTGGATCTCACCAAGTTGCTGTAAGTATGAAACTAAGAAGAAGAAACAACCAATCTAAAATAGAGTGAGATTCTTGATTCTTTGAACCACACTTGATCAAATCAAGAATGGACTTGAAAACACATCCGAGCTTGGCCTTGAATAAATAGAAATCAGCTCTTTCTACTCTTTTTCACAAAAACTCAAAACCTAGAAAACCCTCAGTTCCCTCTCTGTTTTTCTTCTCTTTCTCACTTCAATGGTTATGAAATGGAAGCACACACATAAAAAAAGGTGGGAGCCTTTTTGGCTTCCACAATATGACTCCTTTTTGGGAGCATGAAAAGGTGGGGTGGGCCCCTCATATGGGCTAGACCCACACCCAACAAAACCCCATCAAAAGATGTCCAGGGTGTAGTGCTCTCCACCCTTCAGGTATCCTGATGAACCCTATAAATCCATCCTTGAGATCAAACTACACAAGGAGGAATGGGCGAGCTACCATATACAAAGCTTCATTCATATAAACAAGTTTGATCATGTAAAAATTACCAATGGGCTCATGGAAGGGAGAACTCAGACTCCACCCATCTACCTATTTCAATAGAGAAGATTTCTAGCCTCACTGTTGGTAGTTCTATGTAATTCTATGACACGTGAATGACCTTGTAATGAGGTGACACTCTTAGTTCAAAAGCCAATGCGGTGGTAATGGTGGAGAGCTTGGGGCTTGGAGGATTTGGTAGAGCCACCTATTTAGCAGTGATCAGGTTACAAACATAATATGTTGCCTAGAGGTGAGAGGAGAAGTATAGGGATTTCGTGTTGAGACAAAGAAACAACCCGTTGCAGCAGTTGAGAAGATTAATATTAGAATGGTGCAAGAAATTGTGGGTCCAACTGTTGATTTCAATACTCAAAGCAGCAATTTGTTTTTCTTCGGAAAGAGAAACATATTCCAAGGATCTAATTAGAGAATATGCATGTAGGTGATCATTGGTTCAGATTTGTTGAAGGTGTAGAAGAAGAGATCGACCATCTTTGCAGGAAGAATTGTTTGACAAGGAGAAGAGGAGATTAAACGACACCATGCTATCGATACAGACTTACATCTGGCAAGAGATTTGATGGGAAACTTAGAGAAGATTTTGATCGATAAGTCATCGCATAAAGCTGTATAATCAGCTCTACATTGCTCCTGCCGCTTGTTTGAATAAGCCATGGAACTTTAGTCTATCTCCGCTAGGGGTGAGCATTCAGATTTTAAAAACAGATTTAACAAGATGGTAAACCAAATCGAAACCAAAACATGTAAAAATCGATCAAATCGAACCGAAACTTTTTTTAGGTTATTTTGGATATTTCGGTTAAAACCGAAATTATTTAACCTAACTACCTGAGGCTCATTTTACTAATACTTGATATTTCGAATATTTCGGTTAAAACATAATTGAGTTTCTTTCCAACCAAACAACTCATAGAACTACCAAAGGGATTGCAGACTAAAAGAATCTCCATTTCCTACCCATACAACAATACTGCCATACCAACAAACTTCCAAGTTCCATTTATATTATTGCATAGGAGGGGCTGAACAGAGGATGTACACAAATAACACAATACAGTGACTGATCAAAAATATGTATACCGGTTACTCAGTAGGTCAATATATTTATGTATGTATTTAAGAATTAAGATTAAATAAGCTAAAAATAAAATTCTGATTTTTGACTTCTAGCCTTTTGTGTTCTATCAAAAACAAAGGAGAAGAAGAAGAAGAAGATACCTATAACTTTAAGGCTGTAACTGGAGGTGAACACTTGAACTTGAAGGCCCTGAACGAATAGTAAGTCTTGACTCTTGAAGTCTTAGAGTTTTTTGGACTGAAAGTATTGAATCTTGTTTCTCTGACTCTTTATCTCTCTTAAACTAAAACTTAGTCTTACTCAAAAATCATAATAGAATGAGCCATGAGGACTAGAGGAAGATGCAAGATAGTTCTACAAAATAAAAGGAGCTAAGACTAAGAGGATTGGAGGAAGATGCAAGACGCACTCACGTCTTAGGGTCTCAGAGACTCAGCCTCTTAGGTCTCATGCAGATAGCAGACGCAGGCGGCAGCCGCGACACTCGACAATCGATAGGACAGGAGGATTGACTGATTGAGGAAGACACCCTCACTCAGCAGCAGTAGACCAGCCTATTCATATTCTAAATTTCCAATAGCCAATACAATCTACAGAGATTAGAGACTAGAGAGATTGATTAAGGAAGACACCCGCCAATAGTTTACTTGTCTTTTGAGTTTTGCTTCTTTTGGAAACTTGGCAAATACGATATGAAATACGAACCACAATTGTTTTGTACTCCCAAGTCCCATCTAATGAAAATGAAATAATGATCCAATGCTAATAATATATTAATATAAAATTATAAATTATGATATAAATAATATTAAAAATATATAGTTATAAAATTAAATTGATTTTTTCGGTTAACCGATTCATCAACTATGAAAACCGAAACCTGAAGTATAAAATAACCCAATAACAAAACCGAACCCGACTAAAAAACTGATTAGACCGAATCAATTAAACCAAAACCGAAATTTCGATTTAATTTTTCGGTTTTAACCAAATTATGCTCACCCCTAGTCTCTACTCCTTAATTTAATAGAAATCAATCACGACTAGAACAAGCGAGATTGATCTCCACGAGAGGCAAACAAAGATACCCGCTTCGTCATGAATCGAACTCAAAACCTGAAAAATCCACATATTGATTCCAAAGATAGATTGACTCGGAGATGATGAAAGCAAAATGAGATCGTTGAAGCGCTGCTGCAGTTGCTGCCATATATCTTGCAAGCACCCTCAGCCCTTGCCCCTCGGTTCTCCCCCTCTTTAAATAGTTTTCCCATTTCTCTCGATAAGATTTCTTTCATAGTTTTCTTCCCAAAATATTGTAATTTATCGCGATATGTTTTTTATTAAGAACATTTATTGCGATAAATGTTGATATCTCACAATACCTCCCCACGATTTATGTAATTTTTAACAGTCCCGCTTCCAAAATCTCGAGTTCACATTAGGAGTGCCCCATAGTGCCTCACAATATACCTCAACCTTGTATGAGATCGGATCTACTCCTCACACCGGGCGCCTCACATGCACATCCTACCATGCATTGGAAACATCTCCCGTTAATATTCATGGGAGATGTTCCCAATGCACGGTGGATGTACATGTGAGGCGCCTATTTGTGAGGAGCAGATCCCGTCTCATTGGGACATATCCTAATGACAATTATGGGAGATGTTTGTGAATGTGGGGCGCTGATGTAATCCTTAAAATTTCTTTTTCTACGTCTTCCCGTTCCCACTTCACTAACCAATCTTACCGTGCTCCGCTTAGTTGAGACCTAAAATTAGATAGAACATAGATTGGGAAAAGAGAGATTCATGGGTTAGAGGAATTCACATCTCCATCCCACAATGTCTCACCCCACAGCACATCCCCCAGAACTGATGATGTCATCATCGGGTTAGAGGCTCAATTATGATCAAATTGGAGATTGAATCGTGATGACATAACATATATCGTAAATACATAAATATTATATATAGTGGGAAAATATATGATATACTAAAGACATGATATCACAAGAGTTTTGTTTTGATCAAGCACCCTGTAAATTTTGATCAATACCACCTGATTTATCATCTCACTTATGATACCTTGATTAGCTTTGAGTTTTTTCCAATATATTGTCTTTTCGGTATTATAGTTAAATATTTTACAAATGTTTTTGTATTTGAATATAATGTGTAAATAGTTAAAACTTTAATTTTTAAAGTAAATGATTATGACTCAAGCCTCTTAATTTACATTTTATTTAAAAAAAACATATACATTAAAGAATTATGGATTAATGACAATAAGATGACAGAGAGAAGGTTATGGGTTCAATCTTGCCATTAACATTTTAAAACTCCCATTCATTTGCTGAATAGGCGGTTTTATAAAACAGAACCGGTTCATTAATTTCCCAGCCGATCAGTGGTTTTGATCGATTTTGTTTATGAATTACAGTTCTTAGCATGTGACTGAACCGGTCAAGGCCCCTGATTACGGTTCAACCGGTTCGATCGGTCCGTTCCGATTTTCTAAACAGCGGACTCCTGACAAGTCTGTTGCCTCTATTCGACTATAAATACCGGGGTTGGTCTAACTTCAAACGGAAAATCAATTTCAGCGCCATTTTTGTCTTCTCGTTTGGTCGTTGAGAACTTCAGTATCAGAGGATCGGCCAACGTTTTGCTTTCTGTCGCGATTTCTCTTCTCATATCACGCCAATACCAGGCGAGTTTCTTCGATTCACGGCTGCAAAGTTTTCTCAACTCTCTCACTCTCTTTGGAGAAAATTTACTTTTGTATGTTGATATTTTCACTCATCTTGCTTAGTTTTGAACTAATCTGTGGATCTTCTAAGTTTGGAATGCTTCAGTAGCGAAAACAAAAGAAGATTTTAGCTATAGAACTATAAATACTGTCTTTGAGATATAATTTTTTTTCTTTCTTCTTCTTTTTGTTAATTTTGGGTTTCAATCCCTTTCTGCTGTTACTTCGTAGATCTGTTGGAGTTTGAATGGTTTCTGGTGAATTCTCTCGCATCTTCTATAATCTGTATGCATTCTTGAATCATTTTGATATGAACGATCTTTCTAGTTCTCCGTGGAGTTTGAACGAATTTCAATTGGATTTTCTCAGTACTGAACGAAGTAATGTTGCTTTGAGTCACAAACATATAAAATATCATCAGCAAATATTCTTGTTGATCTTTTATTGTTCTGCAAATTCTTCGTACTTCTTGATTTTTGTTATTTTCTCATTTGTGTATGGATAGGCAAGTTTCTGAGATTGCTAACTGTAATCTCCTTAAAAACTGAAATTCTCTATTAGGGAAAAGCTTCATATTGCATTGCTTCTTATTTCTTCTCATCGTGTTTTCTAACCATATTTCTGCACCATTCAACAACATAGAGATGGAATCATTTCAGAGGGATCTCTACGAGGCAATTAGATACTCTTATCAATCATATAATTGCAGATATATGGTAAACCTGGTATTAGTTTTATCATTTAAGTGAGAAGTGCAGGATTTTGTAAATAATGAATTTTATTATCCCTCATTCTTAGTCATATGCCCTGCTTCAAATGAGTGTAGTGGTGTCTAATTTGGTTTCAGGAGTGTCATGCCAAAATATATTTCCCTCCCAAATATTGTTGTCATTCAAACTTGATAATCTCCTTTTCTTGTGCTGGAGTATCAACTACAACTTCCCTGCTATGACAATGAAGCATTTATAAGTAGTATAAAGTTTAGCAGTTTATGATGCGTAACTTAGGAGAACTCACCCCTAAAAGCTAGCTGTTAGAGGGAGGGAACCCAAGCACATATATACCCCACAACAGCATCCCATTCTACCAATGTGGGATACCTCACATTAGCATCCCATACTACCAACATGGGACAAATGAATCGTAACATCCCACCACGCTTCCGCAGTCCCAGCGCCCACACAGGCTGGCTTTGCACTAGTCCACCTAGTCCCGGCCGAACACTGCAATACYGACRTCACCACCTGCGCCGCACGATTGCAACTGGGAGGCATAGTGTAGGCTCTGATACCATTYGATACGTAACTTAGGAGAACTCACCCCTAAAAGCTAGCTGTTAGAGGGAGGGWACCCAAGCACATATATATCCCACAACAGCATCCCATTCTACCGATGTGKGATACCTCACATTAGCATCCCATACTACCAACATGGGACAAATGAATCGTAACATCCCACCATGCAGGCTGGCTTTGCACTAGTCCACCTAGTCCCGGCCGAACACTGCAATACTGACATCACCACCTGCGCCGCACGATTGCAACTGGGAGGCATAGTGTAGGCTCTGATACCATTCGATACGTAACTTAGGAGAACTCACCCCTAAAAGCTAGCTGTTAGAGGGAGGGAACCCAAGCACATATATACCCCACAACAGCATCCCATTCTACCGATGTGGGATACCTCACATTAGCATCCCATACTACCAACATGGGACAAATGAATCATAACAGTTTATCAGTCTGGGAAAGTCTAGTTTTCTACTATAAAGATGAAAAATAAATAAGATCTAAAAGCATGACTAAGTTTTTGAGTATTTGAAATATATGTTCCGTTGGTCTTGCTCCAGAATTCCCTCTCCTTCCTCCTAAAGATGGTAGCTTTAGAAACGCACATCTTGAAGGTTTTACAAATGACATATTTCATTTGTTTCTCTCATGTATTCTATTTCTGAAGCCTGTTGAATATTCTTATATAGTTTTTTTTCCTAAAGTAAATCTCAGAATCTATTAATCATGGTTAAATATATTGCCAAAATCATGACAACAGATGTATCTGTATTTGAATCAAAGGAAAGACTACATTGTTTTATCAGATAGTGATAATAATACTACATTGCACTTGCAGATAATGTATCTGTTTTATAGATGAAGTAGCTATCCAGATCAGTGGCATCAGATGGAGTGTTGTTCCTTATGAGTCATCTGAGACTGTCTTAGATTACTCTCAGTTAGGGCTGCAAGTCGGGTTGCTCGACTTGAAGAATTTCAATTGCATTGGGCTCAGGCTAGGGTTTGGGCCCATTGAAAATTTAACAAATTGCAAACCCAACCCTAGTTGCACCGCTAGAGTTAGTGGATCTGATCATTGTTCATGTACCGTGCATCTTTCTTTTCTTTACCTCTAATTTATTTCCCCAGACAGATTTTCTAGTTTTGACATATAGATAGATATTATTATTTCCAAAATAGCCCCATTACTTGATATTCTTATATGGATGCAATAGTCAAGATAAGATCAATCTATACAGGTTTACATGGTGGAATCACAAAAGGGAGTTGCTTCAACTGCTGATTCACAAAAGAAGAGTTCATTGCTAGGTATGCTTTTCATGAATTTTTGGTTCATGATCTTTCATTTAGTAAGAAGAAACAATTCCATGTTTCCATTTTCATGCGTAGAAATTCAGTATCTGTAGACAAATTGATGAGGAGGGAGTGTGCACATCTCTATTTCTTGCTGACATTACTAGCTTTGAGGAAGTTGTCACTGTTATATATATATAGTAATTCACCAAAGAGATTATGTGTTTGAATGCATATTGATTCTTTTAATTCTCACTTAAATTTAAGCATTTAGATACCACAACAACAATGATTATAAAGCCTTTTCACCTTTTAATTTCAAAAAGTGAACCATGTAGTGGGATATTCATTATCTGGCTGAAACAGATGAGGATTTTGGAAAGGATTTCCTCAGCTCCTGGAAATCAATTTCTGTGGCAGAGAATGATGGGATGGATTTTAGTTGTGAAACAGGTCCCAAAGGCAAGAAAAAAAGCTTCAACTTTGATAAACTGTAAGTTTCTCAAAACTTTGTGCAGATAAAAGTTCTTTTCTATAACTGGATGGCTAAGGATTTAACCCTCCATGAATAAAATATGATTTAAAAGAAATTTATCATTTATAATATTTTGCTATATCTTTTAGAAGATAGGAGAGGGTGGGCCTTGGCGCAATGGTTGGTTGGGTTGCTCCATTGTGACCTAGGTGATCAGGTTCTAATCTTGGAAACAGCCTCTCTGTATGTGCAGGGGTAAGGTGGAATGCATATGTCCCTCCCCAGACCCCACATTGATGGGTGTCTTATGCACTGGGCTGCGCTTTTAGAAGATAGGAACTTTGTCCCACTTCATGATCAAATCATATTTATATCCATTTAATGATCTAAAATGGCCATTACCCAGTGTTTGTCCCAATGATCCAGGGTTTTGGGAGGGGTGGACTGGATACAGATCTAACCTTTGCCCTTTTTTTGCACAACGTGGCCACCATCAGACTCAAACCTGTGTTCTCATCCTTTTCAGCTCGATATTTTATCACTGCACTACCTGTGGCCATTTAGCAAATGAATAACTCAAACTTCATGGACAGTTTCTTCTGTTTCCCCCTTTTTCTCTGCACTTCCACATGAATAAAAGTAAAGCATGTTCTTTTTGAATCCTCAATCAAACTGCTCCTGGATAGGAATAACTATTCTACCATCTTGTGGATATTTACATAAATGTAAAAGCAAAAATACACTGTTCTGTATTATACTGAATAATCATTCTTTTCCCAGGGACATGGATTTTGCTCTTGATGGAGATTTTGGCAAAATATCATCCTTCAAAGTAGATATGCCAGATCTGGACTTCTCCAGTCCAGCCAAGAAGAATGAGAAGCCAAAGGAAGGATCTAGTAATGAATCTGTTGATGGAAAACACAAAGCGAAACAAGATTGTTTTGCCTTCACTTTTGATTTTAATGAGTATGTATGTTATGTTTTTTGCACGGACTATGGAAATTTCTATATTCCATACAGTTAGTACACTAATTTGAAGTTAATACAAGTATAAGAAGTCAGTGAATATGTAAAGTGAAATTTTATTGATTAACAAGCACATTTTTTACTGGATGTTTTTGTCTGAGACTCAGGTTGGACAATTTTGATCTGGATTCCACCTTAATGAGAAGGGAAAAGAAATTTGATAAATGCAGAGATGATAAGGGATCTGATTCTTCATTTAGTCATGAGAAGAATCAAGTTTCTGGAAGCAACTCTGTTTCAAGTACTGATGTTTCTGAAAAAATTGATGCCAATAATAAGTTACAATCTGAGAAGGCAACCATTTCGAAATTCGAGACACTGGTTGAGGATCTTGTAACTAGTGCTGCTCCTTCCACCTGTGTAAACTTTGGAAATCTAAATATGTCATGTGGTGTAGCAATTTCATCAGATAAAAACATAACCATTAATGCACAAGATACAGATCAACATAGCCAGCAATCAGAAAGGACGAGCACCAAGGAACCAGATGCTCAAACTATACAAAATTCATCTTTCCGATCTGTCTCTGCTGAGGGTTCAATAGAGGAGAATGTTGCAGAAGCACAGGCTGAGGTTTGTTCCTCAGATCCGGAAGTAAATAATAATCCATGTGGGGATCAAGATGGTAGTTTCAAACTGGTCACCAGATCAGAACCTAACCTTGTAAGTTCATATAAGCCATTACCTACAATACAAAGCACAGGCATGGAGAGAACTGCCACTAATTTTGGGAAAAAACTGGAGGTAGAGGAACATGTTACCTTGGGAAGTAAATCTATGGATGAAATAGTCGAAGGTGAGTTAGATATCGGAATTTCTTCTATTACAAGCCTCTCACAGAAGATGTTGCCTGACAAAGTTACAAGAGACAACAAAAACTCAGTTTCTCAATTTCATCTGGCCCCAGTTCAGATGTAAGCTGAAGTCACAAATTTGTGATTATGTTATCTTTTACTGCAATATTTTATCCATTTATTTACAATTTTAAATAAGATTTTCTTAGACAATTCAGTGAAAAAACCTGAATGTTTCTGTCTGTAAATGCTGTTATGATGTATTAACCAATAGAAAGTTGTGTTCACACCTAGGAAAGATCTGACTATACACAATGATATTAATTATAAACAGAAAGTGAAAAATAAGGCAAACATTTATAGTGAGTAATGTTTAAATTGTATTGAGAAAGCTATTGCCATTGGTCATAGCATGTCTGGTCAAGTATTGTGTAATTGTTTTCATTTTCACTTGATACAGTGAACCCAGGGTTGATAAGTCCATGCAAATGAAAGAACAAGGAAGTAGTAGTATTGACTTGAAGGTTTTCAACAGATCAGTGGAAATTGAATCTCAGTTGCATTCAAAACAAACAAAATTTGTTCCACTCAGTGACAACAAAATGGGAACTGAGTGTCATGGTCCTATTGGAAGGTGGTTTTCTGTTTTTCTCTGCTAGAACCATTGTTATTATTAGGGTTCAAACGATTCATCTTCTCCTATATCTATTCTGCAGGCAGGAATTTAATTCCAATGATGCACAACTTGGGAATCAAATTGTTGGCACTTCAAAGTCACATGACGTAACTCTAACAAAAGTGATACCTATTATACAGGAAAGTGAAAAGCATGATAAAGATCCCAATGCATCCAAGTAAGGCATCTATACTGGGAGGTGTTGATTTGACATGTTTATGGGATTGATTTGGATGCATTCTGTTGGCACACTCCTAGTGAAAAGACAAACAATATCTCTGCATATAATGATAAAAGTTAATATATAAGGATAATTTGCCTTTCAAGATAAATGTACTTCTTGAATAACAATTAGGTGTTGTCCCCCATTTAATATATACTCTACCAAACCTTTAGTAGCATGGGATTGCAATAACTCACTAACTAGGGGTGAGCATGGTTTATTCGGTTAAAAACCGAACCGAATAAACTGAAAATTTTAAAACCAAAATAAAAGAATGAAAACCGAACTGAAACCGAATTACAATAAAACTGAAATAACTGAACCAAAATTTTTGGTTCAGTGTTCGGTTATTTCGGTTAAAAACCGAATTTAATTAATATATATAATATTATATATTGTAACCTATAATATATATATATATATATATATATATATATATATTACAATATATATTATGAAATTGAATTTCACTATAATACATTATATATAATATATTAATATATAAATATATAGCATATTATATATTAAATGTTATATATTATATATTATATATTACATATTATATAATAAATTTTAGTTAATTCGGTTTTTTAGATTAACCAAATTTCTAAATCTGAAAACCAAAACCGAAAACCAAAATTCCTAAAAACCAAATTACCCAAAACCGAAAAACTGAACTGAAAAAACCGAAACTGAAATTTTCGGTTCGGTATTTTGGTTTTAACCGAACAATGCTCACCCCTATCACTAATAATGTCATTCCAGAATCATTACAGTTTATGGGCTCGATGTTTGGAAGGTGTGTTAAATGAGAAATAAAGAAGATATTTTAGCTTCCAATTAATCAGTTGTGAAGATTGTGACCATGATCAGAGACCACTACCCTTAAGGATAAATACATAGTCAATATGAGCAAGATGTCCAGGTGTCGGTATGTGTTTTTTGTCATATGAAAGCTAGCTATTGCCTGGGCCCTGAGGATGCAATTACCTAGTTACCCATAAATGAGGTATTTTTGTAGTTCTATTAAGGTTTTGTGCACATAATTGAGATCAGTACATAAAATTACCTTATAACCAATGACTTTTTAAGGCCTACTATGTTTATTAGGAGTCTTGACATGGCAAGTCTTTAGCCTAGTGCTTGGCCTAGGCAATGTTCTAAACTATGTTACATATAACAATCGTCAGGACCCAAAAGTGACTTTACTGTTTCATAGAAAACCCTTAATTGATTTGGGTCTTGACATATAAACCTTGGTTTTAAGTGCTTGTTTTAGCTTTTCATGAAGTTTCCTTTAATGGCTGAATAGGAAGCCTAACATATTTTCTTCCCAAGTTCCATGAGAAAATTTCTCTGCATTATTCAATTTTATTTGGACTAAAATAAAAATTTGAACCATAGGGTTTCCATTGTTCAATCTCTCTATAAAGGAATATATTTCTGTTCCCTTTTTCCTTTTTTCTTGTTTTCAAAAAAAGTAGTCTATCTACTATCTGTTCTGGATTTTTCATGAATAGTAGATATGCCGATAATTTTATGTGCTATGTTCTATTGGAACAGAAAATGTGGACTAAAATAAAAAATGTACATATTTGAAATGAGTTGCATTAACCTGGAATGAGTTCTTTGCAGTTCCCAAATTCATCAAGCCAGCATCCCCGAACCAGCACCTAAATCTAGCATTCTGAAGTCTATCGATCCTAAACTTCTAATTTCAAAGGAACCTGTTAGAAACTCAAAATTTATTCCTGTAGAACGGAATAGACTTTCTCCTATGAAATTTGGTAAGACAACATCTAATATCACTTCCTCGAAGTTGAAGGTTTTAAGGTATAACACTTATTCCATGTTTTCTTTTTAACTTCCCTTGTTTTTCTAAATATTTTATCAGTGAGAAAAGATTTGATGAGTGACTGAACTTCTTAAAATAGGAATATGACATCAAAAAATGATCTATCCATTTCTACACCCCAAAAAGAAATTAAAGCATTAAAGCACTCACAAGAAAGCATTGAACTTCAAGCAAAAGCAGCAGTGAAGGCAGTCCAATCTATTGGCTCAGAGAAACAAACCCTGTTAAGTGCATCTTTGAAGCGGAAAGCAATTGAGGTCCATACTCAAATACTCTCTCTCTCTCTCTCTCTCTACTGTAAGGTTGACTGTAGAAAATTTTCTAAGAAATCATATTAAAAGAAGTTACAGATTATATTACACTCTTTTGTTTCTTCATGAAAACTGCTGTAATACTTCATAAATAGTTTGTCTTAATCTATACTCTTATAAAAAATTCCTCAAAATTTTGCAGGCATCAAATGCAGATCCAGTAAACTTATATCCATTAAAGCGTATGACAGAATCATCTGGAGAAATCAGGTTCTTTAATACCATTGAATATTTATGGAGGTTAAATTACATTTCTGCATTATTTCCTGTAACAAAAATTTTCTCTTGAAATTTGCAGAAGACATCTGAAAGCTTCCCGAAAGGATGATGAAAAACCAGTAATTGTCAAAAGAAACATGCATATATTCATGACTGCAGATATAATGCTTCTATCACAGGAAACTTCCAAGGCTGAATTCTGATACAAAATAATTGTTACCTGTCTTATTGTCTGCTTTTTCCTAGATTGGCAAAACTGAGAATCTGGTCAATAGTTGTACCAAGGATATTTCCTATAATCACCTCAATTCTACAATTGATGTTTGCCAAGAAGCATGCTTGACAGAACTAATTCCTGTTGTACTGGAGAATGATGGAAATGTTGAAAAGGCTGAAGCCTGCACAAAGGAGCTTGAAGATGTAAGTGAACTATGGATTCTATTGGTCTAAAATTTTAACTAGATCAGTTCATTGAAAAGTTTATTCTTTGAGTTGAATATTACACGAGATCGTCTTTTGTTGATTTAATCTCATCTCTGGCTTATGGAAAAAGTCAACTGATATTCTTACAGAATCTGGTTATCCTATTTTATCAACTCAAACGTCCAAATAAGTATCCCTTTGTTTCCCCTTATAAGTTTCATGTGGCTTTTATCTACCTAATGTTCATGACATAGCTAAATCTGCTACTAAGTCCGTGTTTCCTTAAACCTTCTCTCAACATATATCATCCATTGTTTTCTCAGTGCCCACTCTGCTCTATTTCATGTTTATGCTCTTCCTTCAACAACATACATCATTTGGTGGTGCAGCATATCTGAAATCTACCCAATGGCATGTAGAGACTCTTCATCAAAAAACTAAAACAATTGTTCTACCTAGCTGCATGAAGATAAACAATATATACTATGGTTAGATAGAAATGGAAGAGTGCCCAAGAGACAAATTATCACAGGGATACATAAGTAGGAACACCTCCAATTATTGACTTAATAATCTGGCCGGTTTAAGGAAATTTCTCATTGTTTTCTCCAAGTAAATTAAACTTTTCAACCCCTAGAAGTCTAGATTCTCAAAAGTGTTGAAGTTGTATTTTTCCCCTCATGCTTCTTTCTTTGTCCAATGAGCAGCATCAAGACCTGATCTACTTTTCTATGTAGTTAAACTGGGAGCAATGGTTGCTTCAACAGAACATATTTTCAATATGGAAATCAAGTGGGATATGTGAAAAACATGTGAATCTGATGTGGTAATATTGCTGCACCATGTTTGCTTCAATATTGGCAATGATCAAGAAATATACTGTGAACCTGAGATATTCAATCGGGAATATCAAATTATGAGCTTCCTAGAAAAATATATTATTTCCTTCTATACTATTTTGACTATGAGTAAGTTATACTCCTTGCTCATTGCAATTAGATGGACCAGATTATATGATAACCAGTATTTATTAGTGTGTTGTCAGCTGCTCAGGCAATTGGCACATGAAACCGGTCCTTTTTTGAATAAAATTTCTGGAGGCAAAATAATTCTTTCCCCTATATCATCTTGGCATTTCTCAAGATCCTGTGAGAAAACAATGGTGTGTGTTCAATAATTTACTTGAATTGGTTAGTTCTCCCTTATTTATTTTTATTTTTATTAATTCAGAGAAAGCTGCTGATCAGGGAAATCCAATTCTTGTTTTCACATTAATGAGAAACTGACTTATCATTCTGGTTAAGTGCTTGTCCTTTTAGTCAAGTATTATTCTTGGAGGTTCTAAGCCACTTTTCAATATTTACTAACATGGTTCTTTGATTTCAGGCATGTATTTGTATTCTAAGAAACTTGGCTTCAGCATTAACATTTTCTTTGTTATTTCAACTGCTTATTTCTACACTTGATGGCTAAAAATTGATCCAACATATGTACTTAGCTTCAGTTTATTGGTAATTAGCTTTGTTCATCTTCATAGACAGTGGCAGTCCGTTTATCTTTTCATTGCCCTGATCAATCTAGAACCAACTTCCATATTATAACTGTGAGCATCATTTTAATATTTATGCATAATATTAGTTTCTTTATCCATGCTTGTGTTGTACTAAATTGCTTGTTACTTGTAAGGCATAATTATGCAGACTGATATTTCCTTATTAGTAGAATGACTGAAAATAAAGAAGAAAAATTGGTTGCAAGCAAGAAAGAAAGATATTAGTTTTCTTTGCCTTTATCTTTTTCTATTGATAAATCTTAAAATTGATTGATTTCATTCCTGCAGATCTGCAGGATGCTGAAAAAGAAACATGAGGAAGCAAAGGAGTTACTAGTCCGAGCTCTTGTAAACAACAATAATCTTTTGATGTTGAACCATCCCATCTATGATGAGAAGATATCCTTTCATTTATATACTTATTCTTCTTTTGGTATCATTTTCACCTAATTTTTCTGTCAATCAGAAATTGAACTTGCATCTCCTTTCATAATCTATACATCCATATGATTCAGAGGTTTTTAGCTCGCATGATGACTAGGAAACTTCAAAGTTGATCCGCCGATGCAACAGTGCAAACACGTATAAATTCCTTGCATTTTATGCTCAAGTTAGAAGTTACATGCCTATTTGAACCATGTTCCTTCACATATTCATTTTCATGCATTTGTAGTTTGCCTTTCTATAGGTCTATGATTTGATGTACTGAAGAAATTGCAGGAAACAGTTATAAGTTTTCTGCCCTGTTATAATTTGGGCATTGGGGTCCAATTTCCTATTTCAAGAAATTAAGGAACTTTGTCTTGGTCTAAAACACTTTTCTTTTTCAATGGTAACTGAGTTTTTAATGGTTGTATCCATGATATGAACAGATTCATACACATTTACTTATTCTTCTTTCCCCATCATTTCTTCTCAAATTTGCAATATTGATGGAACTAGAATACCGTGTATTCTACCATGAACAACTTGGTTCTGGGTTATGTTAACATGAACAAAAATATACACTGGAAATACTTGATTGGTATTCTTTGGCCTTGTAAAGAATACCGTGTATGCTAGCTGCATGAAGCGACGTACGCCTATTAACTTCAAAGTATTAATAAGGTTTTATAAATGACCTTTGTTATACAACATTACTAGAAAAGATGATTTATTTTTTATATAAAACTTCCACCTCAGACTCAAAAATGATCTGCTTTTCTCAAATTGGTAATGCCACTACCCTTGTCAACGAAGTTATTGATCATAATAGGAAAATATGGGTAGAAAGAAAAGTCAAAAGCTTAGTGAACTCAAATGATTGAAATAAAATTAAATCAATTTTTATCCCGCACAAAGATACTGAAGACAAAATGATTTGGGCTTTCAACACTAATGGTAATTTCTCTTTAAAGTCTGCCTATAAATTAAAATGCAAAATGAACATTGATAGAGATAATGAGGTGAAGTGGGCGCTTCTGGTTTGGGATCTGGAATGTCCTCCGAAATTGAAGGTCTTTCTCCTTCTTTTGCTTAAGAATAGTCTCCCTTCTAAATGTTTACTTAGAGATAGGGTCGCTCTATCAATCCGGACTGTTGCTTTTGCGGTATGGAAGAGGATAATACCCACATTTTCAGTAAGTGTGAGATTTCAAAGGAGATTTGGTCGATTGTTAGTCATAATATTGAAGGCCCCAAAGAGGTGGATTCAAATCTTCTAGATTGGTGGGTGAGAATTAGTAAAAATTCTCTTCACAAAAAGGATAAAGTTTTAGAGAAAATTGTTCACATTCTCTGGCAAATCTGGAAGAACAAGAACAAGAAAGTGTTTCAAAATAAATCAGACCACCCTCAGGCTATCCTTAATAGAGCTGTTGATTCTTGGATGGATTTCAACAATATTATTAAGGTTCAAAGCAGTTCAAAGAACGAAAAGTCATGAAAATTTATTTTGTGGTCCTATCAAAATAAATTTTGATAGACCACCCTCTGGCAAATCATTTTGGGAAGATTTTAGACTCCAAGGGCTATGTTTTGGGTTACTCTACGATCAATGCAGCTAAGGCTTGGGTTGCATGGGAAGCCTATAATTTAGCCCAAAACTTTAAGGATGCTCCTGTCCTGTCCTGTCATCATCAAAGGTGATTCGAGTCTGGTTGTCTCATGCCTTAATAGTCAGACTGATCCCCCGTGGAGTATGAGGAACATCACCAAAGGTTGCGAAGATCTGAAGACTAGGTTGAATCGTGGAGTTCAATATACAGAGAGGCTAATCAAGTGGTGGACTGGATTGCAAAGGCTGCGGGCTCTTCCGGATGGATCTTTGGACCTCATTTATTTGAGTGATTGTTAGGGACGTACTACCCCCACCTTGTGTAGCACCCTTTCCATCAAAAAACAAAAATGATCTGCTTTTCAAAACAAGAACTTCCAACTCAGAAAAACTGTAGTTTTGCTGATGTGGAAGATGTTATTGTTTCGAAAGCCAACAGGGAAAATCATGGGCCGTAATATCGTTCCTACCGTTCTGGGCCTGGGTGGACGCGGCCCGCGGGAGTCGGGAGTCGGGACTACTCCAGTCTGGTGACTCGTTGAAAATCCTTGGCTCCAATGGTTTTCCTACACCTTCCCTCCACTTGATTGGTTCGCGCGCGCGCGCGACCTTTTTGCGGTTTTCTAGGTATGTCTTAGGAGTATCTCAGAGAAGACTTACTCCCAAATTTCAAAGACCTGACCTCTGGCATTTGTTTTGTTTTTAAAATCAAAATTCTCCCCCTCGTGAGCATATCTTCATTCCCGCCCGCTCTTCCCTGGTTCCCTCTTTCTCCATTAATAGCTTTTTTTCTGTTTGTGATTTCGAAAACCAGAATTGAGATTTTGAGAATTCTTCTCTTCTCCCTCCCTAAAATTAAAAATGAAAATCATAGGAAAAAACTTGAATTTCCCCTCCAAAAAGAAGCAAAATAACATCCATTACCCACCATTACATATATCTCTCCCTCCATCATCGTTTCACCATCTCTCCTGCTCTCTCTCTCTCTCTCTCTCTCTCTCTCTCTCTCTCTCTCTCGCTCGCTTTCCCCGGACAACGGCAATGGATGCCTTCTCCCTCTGTGAGTACAACAACAAAGGGAACATCCCTCTTTTTTCTGCCAACCTGATTAGCTCAATCCATGCAGTCAAAAAGAGGAGGATCAGAAGGCCTCTCGAAGACATTACCCATCTCATCTACCCATCAGCTCGATGCAGTTCGGTTGCCGATGGTGATGTTCTTTTGCAGCCAAGTTTGATTTGGATGGGGAAACCTCGTAAGAGGAAAACGAGTTATGGTCTTGATTCAATGAGGGCAGTTCGTTGGAGGTCTCTCAGGAAAGATTTTAGGTAGTTCATGTCATCCTTCTTCACCTCCGATTGATCGATGAAAGAGCCTCTCGCTCATTTTCTTCATACTCTTTTCTGGTAGAGTAAGCGATGGAACTTGCTTGGTATGGCAACCCATAACCAATAAATGATACATTTCATTTATTTGATCATTGTATATCTTTTAATAGATAAAGGGAATGAAAATTCAATGATCTCTCTCTCTGTCACTAATCCAAAATTCCAAATCAATTCTATTGTTCCATACTTCCATGGTATTACGAATCAACATTACTTGTAACAATTGGGTCTGACTGGGGTCTGTGTGCGCTGCTATATGAGATCTATTTTCAGTCTGATACTCGAATGATACAGAGCATCACTACATCAAGCCTGGATCAGTGCATGCTTATGCTTTCGGGTTTGATCTTACAAATTTCACAATCCACATCGATCTGGAAGCCTGGAACCTGATCACTCAAATGGATATGATTTTGAAATCCAAGATCCACATGCAGTAAAAATGAGCCTAAACTGGTAAAATAACTTGTAGCGTTAAGCCTAACATAGTAAGCATTAAGCTTAAGACCCTAGTTGGGTGCAGGTTCCAGTTTGGATGCTCAGGTGTCAAATTTTCTTCATCAACTTACGGTGTTCGTTCAGCACAACAGCAATTTCGAGGTTTTATCCAAGCTATATAAATCTGAACTAAAAGATATGATAAGGAAGGGTGTTTGAATTTTGAAAGAGAAAAAAAACTTGGAAAGCATACCTTGAGATATACGACCTTGGAATCTCCTTTCCACCTCTGTTTCTGCAAAATAGGAAGAATGGGTTTACAAATACCTCTCTCTGAAAATACATGTTGCCAGAAATGGGTTTACCTATACCTCTGTTTCTTCAAAATGCAGGAAGAATGGAAGAATGTCAAAACGACAACACAATAACAATGGCGACAAGTTCTGTTTTCTTGTTTGTTTGATACTATCAGATCTGGTACCCAGGTGGCCTTTTGCCTTTGGTTGTAAACTCGTTTACGATCCTCTGCGAAATAGACCTTGGACATACTTCAATGGTCCTAAGACAAAAAGGAGCAGATAGTAAGTTTTACTTGTTCCACTGAGCTTCTGTGCACTAATTCGGTAAAAGAACATCTCCTCATCATATTTTTAGAAGACAGTGTACGGCTCCCAGTTGGGGCAGCTCCTTCGTGATGAGAAGAAAAAGGGTCTTCTTCTCCTGAATCCCTGAAATTAGCGGAGCTTCTCCATTCAGAAGAACTCTTGGAAGAAGTCGACCCAACTGTAAATTTATCCCCTAACATCTCGTTGCCATACTTTTAGTCCGCGCCGGTGTCGGTATTGTCGCAAGAACATCTTCATCTGGACTGGTTCGCATCGCTGTGGCAAATAATGAATCAGAATGGCTAGGTGTACATGTTTCATTACCCTTATTTCACTGTCATGTTCAGGTTTTGAGTTGCGACAAGTTCTGATTTCTTGTTTAATACTAGCTACCAGAGCTTCTAATGAGTATAAATGATAGACCGGCAGAGTAACAGTATATCCATAAACCGCTGCTACCTCCGCCACTTCCCCTTCTTTGGGAGTACATGTGGACCGTATAAGGATGGAAAAAATGAACAATGTCTTTCCTGGTTCATTCTTTAGGAAGAAGACGATAAACAGTGTCTTCTATGAAAGGTAGTTTAACATTTTTAAAAGTTTTAAATCGCTCATATCATCACCTGATACAGATAATACGTGATACAGATAATTGACAACTGTTAAAGACAGAGATTAAACTAACAGTTTTTGAAAATTTAGGTATTGTAATGGCAAAAATGAGACTATCCCTAAAATACAAGGTATTAATCTAAAATTTTTTCATAATAATTTTTAGGGTAAATTACAATGACCCCCCTGTATTAGGGGTCTGTGACAAAGACCCCTATACTTTGGTTTGCGACAAAGACCCTCCCATACTATGACCGTGAGACAAAGACCTTTCATTAGCTTTTTGTTGAAATCCGTCATTGCAATATTTTTTAATTCTCATATTATCCTTGTAATAACTATTTGGACAAATGGGAGAAAAACACTATTCATCTTCCTTACGATACACGAACAACAGCGGCGATAATCCCTTCTACCTTAGATTCCTTCACATTTCTCTCTCTTTCTCTCTCTCTCCCCCGATCTCTCTTCTTCCCCTTCCCCTTTCTTTTTCCCTCTTTCCTCTGTTTTCCGTTCCACTCGGCCATAGCCGCCACAACTCATTGTCCGGATGCTCAGCCGACAAGCACAGAAGGGGTAATTGCACTGGGGGCATGGATGTTGCAGATATCGATCGAATTGACAACTGCATTAGCCTGATTCATGGCGTAATTGCATGTTCAGATTGATAACTGGCATAGCAGTAACTGTTGATAGCGTTATTGGTCTGATCAGAAATTAGATCATGTGTCCAACGGTAGTCATACATGCCCCTCATGTCGATTTCCCCATTGATCAATGGATTGCCAATCTGCAAACAGAAA